AGGGCACTGTTACTTAGTTGACCCATGGTTCCCCATGGTGTGCAGTCTCCCTCATTATAAGTCAGTAAACCCACCTTTACTGACTATAATGTTCTGATATAATGTGTTCCTGGTGATCTTTACCTGCAGGGCATTCATAATTTATATGGTCATTAAAAGTAAAATTTTAACATTGCTTTTCAGGTTTTAAAACATCTATAGACAAACAAGGACTTCTTAGCTACAGTTGTAGAATGGGTCATTAACCCTAACTATATAAAAGTAAAAGCGCATTTTTGAGAGGTTTGAAAGTATAAGGGAGAAACAAGTAACAGGAAAAATAAGAATTCTATTAGTTTCTTTCATGCAAGAAAATCAAAAGAAACTGTTGTTAGTGGAACAATAAATGGAGCTTTCAGTTTGAGCAGAGAAGTAATAGAAAATAGTGAGACAGCTATATGTGAAGGAGGTATGAGAGAAATTTTAAGTACCGGATACCAAACAACAATAGCATGAAATTAATTGTTTAAAGTTTACGAAAAAGTTACAAACATATTCTTTAGTGATAAGAAAGTATTTAAAAAGTTAGAAAATGAAGGTTTAAAAGTGCTCTCCAAAGGGATAAAATGAAAAACAGATAATACCAGGTGTTGGCAGGAATGCTGAGGAACTGGTATATCCAGACACTGCTGAAAGCAATGTAAACCACTTTGGACAACCACTTTGGAAAACGATTTGGAAATATCTACTAAAAGTGGACATGCACTTACTAAATGAGTAGCAATTCCACCCTTAGGTATATACCCAACAGAAATGCATATACATGTTTGTTGAAGGACATGTAAGAGAATGTTTATAGCAGCATTATTCAAACAGCCAAACGTTGCACCAACCCAAATATCCACATACAGTAAGATGGGTTATAAATTGTGACATATTCATACAGTGGAATACTATACAGCAACAAGAATGAAGAACTAAAATTAAAAGCAGTATCATGGATAAATGTCATAAACGTATTGTTGAGAAGCCAGATGCAAAACAGTTCACACTCTACTATTCCATTTATATAAATTCAAAACAGGCAAAACTGAACTATAGTATTGGAAGTTGAGATATTTGTTATACTTGAGCTGGTAGTGATTTTAAGGGGTAATTTGTGTAGCACCTGGGATGCTAATAATGTTTCGTTTCTTCAAGATGCTGATACCAAGTATATTCACTTTCTGAAAATACAGTGAGCTGTGTTAAGGATTTTTCACTTTTCTGTATGAATGTTATAATTGAATTAAAATATTCATTTAAATAATTATTTTCCAGTAGGATGAGAGTTAGGAAAGAAGTGTAAATAGAAGTGTTGGTTTTCATCATGCTTTCTCACGTATTATATTTGTTATATGAATGTATTCTTTTGCAAACAAAATGAATATTATGTAAACATTTAAAATTTTTGCTCTTTAGCATCAAATAACTTAGAGCGTGATGAAACAGAATGAATATAGAGAAAACAATATTTTATTAAGACAGTTCATTGCAACAAGTACCAACGGAAGGAGCAAAAATTTCAGGAAAATCAACAGCATGCAAGGATTTGGAATGGCACACTATAAATAAATGCAATGACAACAGAATTTAGTTTTCCAAAACTGGACAAGGTAACGTTAAATGGACTAATTCACTACAAAAAGGAAATCAAGGCTATATCGGAAGATGGAATTTTTCTCCATGACGCCCTCAAATTCGGTATCTGGGGAAATTAGAGATAAATGACAAATACCTTGCATCATGATGAGATCCCTAACTGAATCCAGAGCTATTCCGGAAGTTGGCGTTTTCCTCTATTTCTTCACCAGCGCCCTGGGTCGGGAGGTTGGGGAGAATCGGCTTCAAGAATTTAAACTCATTTAACCCGGAGCCTCCCGTCAGACACACCTCGTACTGGTAGCTCTGGGACAGGGTCCC